TCGACGTTGAACGCGTTACGTTATACGCTGTTTTTGTACTAGTGGCCTCTTGGAGGTTGTTAGGGGTGTTGGGAAGCTTTCACACTATTCCTTGGATTTTCTCCTTCATCCATGGAGGTTTTTCCCCTTTTGGGGTTGGAGAGAAAAATGAGCTATGAATGGGAGATGTGAATGTGGATGGGGAGTGCAAATGGAGCTTGGCGTAGCTGCTTAGTGCTTTGGAAGAGGTATTTCCTCTTCTTTTTTGTTCCAATTTCTTCTATTTATAAACTTTAGGTTCTTCATTATGGAGAGTTAGATCCATTTGTTGAGATTAGATCCATTTATATATATTAACAACAATCATAATTTGTCGATAATTATTGATAAATGTTTACTGATGAACACTTAGGTTTGTTGTCATTAGTAATTAGTGATAAATTTCTCCATTCCTCAATAAATCCTCTTGACCGATTTTTGGTCAAGTAGTCTCTCTGTAAACATGAATTAGTAATAGATTTTTACTATTATTGACAAATTGTATTATATTAATATGCAATTTTCTTAAACTACTTGAATATAAGACTTGTTATTTATTATATGTAATAATTTAGTGTTCTTCTCGTGAACTTGCTTATCACCATTTGACATAGATCGAAAAATATTTGTTTAAATTTTGAATTATTATTAATTTAATGTTTTTCACAATTTCGTTCAAATTGTGTATTATAATTTTTATTGTTGTATAAAAAAGAGATTTCTTTATAACTTAAAAATTAAAATATTTTTAAACTTGAATATTTGTTTTTCTTTTATACATTTTTAAAAGAATATTTTTTAACTTTATCAATTTTATGAAATTAATAAATCTTTTGATTGTCATAAAATTTTATTTATGTATAATTATGTAATATTCTGTATAATTATTTTACTTTTATCCCTTGTTATTTGACCCTCTTATTTGAAATTTACACAATTATATATATTTTTTAAAATATTTACATTAAAAAATAAAAATACATTATTTTGATATTAAATTTTTAATAATATCATGTTTTATTTGTTGTGATTTTTATGTTTTATAAAATTAATTAACTAATATTAAAATGATAAAAAAAATACAAACATGAATGCGAGTACATATGTTACTTAGTAAGAATAATGATAAAACAAAAATTTTATATATGTTGAATATAAGAATGAAAATTGAATACTAAAACTCTTTCTCGTCTCACCTTCATGTCGTCCTACATAACTCTGAATTCTAAAACAGATAATAATGCAAAATTGGATGATATTATCTCATCGACATGGGATTGAAATAGTTTTAATTTGTGTTTTCTTTTAATTCTCACCGAACCTAACCAAATGTATAACCTGTATTTGTTCCTCTTCCACTTTTGTTCCTGAAATTGAGGATAAATTTGATGATGTTGTTTTGTTTGGGTTTTATTTTATGATTGGGAGATCCGAGGTTCTTTGCGGTGCCGTGTTTTGTTCATACACAAACTACTGATTCGAGGGACTTTCAAATTAAACTGGATGAATGAAATAGGTGATGAGGTGTGCCTACGCATACGTTATCAGTAACTTATGGAGCTACGACCACAATAAAGGAAAGTTTACCATCTAATCTAACTCACAACTCCAACAAATTTCCAGCTTTATACTTTAAGCACTTAAGATTAACCTCTTCATTTTTGAAACATATTCCGCGTTATACCTGAAAAATGAACCTAAAACCAAACATACAACATCTACGTATTGAACAACTACAACGAGTGGAAGACGTGAGAAACAGGGTGAACGCTATTGATCAGTTGTGTTTTTTTGGTTCAGGTTGGTGCATTTTGTATGGGTTTCAATACCCTTTCTAATATAATAAAAATCTTAAATTGTTAGTAAAAACTATCATACATGATTCATTATATATTTGCTTGTAGAATAGATAAGGATATGTAGAAGAAACGTACGTTATTAATTACGTTGACTGAAACTTAGCACATTCACCAGCTACCATGTGTAGCATAACATGAAAAGACATATGTTTGAGTAGAAGGAAACCGAAGGTTGCTTGATTCACAACGTTATCAAAGTGTACTAAACATTGGTCAAACTTTGAATCTTTGAATGCATACTTTTTGTAAAATGCCCAACACACAAATATCTCCCACTGAAACTTTAAATGGTCAGAGGGTTATTTTACGTTCTAATTTTCACAATAATGATGGAATTGTATGCTTTTACATTATTTTAGTATCTCTCTTTTTTTTTTATCTTTTTATTATATATTTACTTTTATTTTAACTATCATTATTTCTCTATAAAGAATAATAATGTATTTGTTTCCAGGGTGGATAGGGAAGGGAAGGGACATATGTGCGTGAAGAGGAGTTATTGTTTGCTACATACATGTGTGAAGATTTGCATGAAGGAAATGAGAAGAAAGAAAATATTTTTGCATGGTGGAAAGTGCATATAGCATCCATAGCAAAATAATACGTGCTTTTATATATTTTTTTCTTTTACTCTTTCATTTTCGATCACATCAACGAAAACATAGAGAATATGAGACACACAGCAATTATNTTATGGAGCTACGACCACAATAAAGGAAAGTTTACCATCTAATCTAACTCACAACTCCAACAAATTTCCAGCTTTATACTTTAAGCACTTAAGATTAACCTCTTCATTTTTGAAACATATTCCGCGTTATACCTGAAAAATGAACCTAAAACCAAACATACAACATCTACGTATTGAACAACTACAACGAGTGGAAGACGTGAGAAACAGGGTGAAAGCTATTGATCAGTTGTGTTTTTTTGGTTCAGGTTGGTGCATTTTGTATGGGTTTCAATACCCTTTCTAATATAATAAAAATCTTAAATTGTTAGTAAAAACTATCATACATGATTCATTATATATTTGCTTGTAGAATAGATAAGGATATGTAGAAGAAACGTACGTTATTAATTACGTTGACTGAAACTTAGCACATTCACCAGCTACCATGTGTAGCATAACATGAAAAGACATATGTTTGAGTAGAAGGAAACCGAAGGTTGCTTGATTCACAACGTTATCAAGTGTACTAAACATTGGTCAAACTTTGAATCTTTGAATGCATACTTTTTGTAAAATGCCCAACACACAAATATCTCCCACTGAAACTTTAAATGGTCAGAGGGTTATTTTACGTTCTAATTTTCACAATAATGATGGAATTGTATGCTTTTACATTATTTTAGTATCTCTCTTTTTTTTTATCTTTTTATTATATATTTACTTTTATTTTAACTATCATTATTTCTCTATAAAGAATAATAATGTATTTGTTTCCAGGGTGGATAGGGAAGGGAAGGGACATATGTGCGTGAAGAGGAGTTATTGTTTGCTACATACATGTGTGAAGATTTGCATGAAGGAAATGAGAAGAAAGAAAATATTTTTGCATGGTGGAAAGTGCATATAGCATCCATAGCAAAATAATACGTGCTTTTATATATTTTTTTCTTTTACTCTTTCATTTTCGATCACATCAACGAAAACATAGAGAATATGAGACACACAGCAATTATTATAGATAGCAAAGGAAGGAAAATGAAATTAAATTATCTTTAATTAAAACTATTGACAAAAGTTTGCAATACCCTTCTTTGGAAACATAAATACAAGTTTTAAGTACCGAACAAGTCTTTTAATTTAATAAAATAGTACAAACATAAAAAAGAAAACTATATATTGCGATTGCCAGCTACTGTTTTTCAAATATACCATACTTATATTAATTTTTAAATTAGTAATTAAAATAAAACTTAAAAGCAGTGTTATATTTAATTTTTATGTGATTTCTTAATTAACTTTGAAGCTTTATTAAAGTATTATCAAGACAAAACTAGAAACTAAATTGAAAAAATTGAGCTTTTAATTGTTTTCTTAATACTTAATCTCATACTTTTAGAAGTAAGATAAGGATCAATATATGCAGATTACTTTTCTAGCAGCTAAGTCTCACAAATTTAATGACACGTCCCTGATAAGTGTTGACATAATATATTTTCTTAATTTGTAATTGGATTAAATATGAAAATTTCACCAATTTTAATATTCATACATTTTTGTAGACGTGATTATCTACTATGGCGTGACTGTTACCTGAAACTAAGTATTAATTCTGCTATATTTCAAAACTTACATTAGGTTCGTTATTGTTTAAATAATTTTACAATGATAAATTTATTTAAATGTTTAATAATTATAAAAAATAAAAGTGTACAAATGAAGGAGACAACAATCAGAGAGAGAAAAAGAGTTAAAGAGAAAAAGCCAAATACCTACAAATCACTTAACATTTTTAAGTACTTGTGATTCATTTCTACCAAAAATTGAACTTAGTTCTTATATTTGAAAACTGTGCTTTTTACTTGAAGATTTGATCAATCTTGGTCTCAACCATTGTATTTTTTAAAATTGTATGGTTTTTAACATGTTTTACCTACATTATTCATAAATTCAAGTAAAATGCATTAATTAGCATATTTTTTTTAATCTAACTAGTTAGCAAGTGTGTCATACCAATTAGTAAAAGTAATTTCTAAAATTCGAACACAATAGTGTGCTCCTGTGTCCATATCGGACACAGATTTGTAACATATCTCCAATTCAGAAAATGTTTCTTATTTAATCTCTTAACATTATAATTTTTTTTAGATGAATATCTATTAAAGTGTTTTTTTTTCAATGATTATTATCAAGAAAGAAACGAAATATCTTAATGAATTTTTTTGTATTAGATTATAATAATTTTCTGTTATTATATTTGGTTAATTTTATTTATAAATGATTTCGAAATAGATAAATAATTTAAATATTTCATAATAATTTAATATATAGATTTGTATTTCCTTGCTCGGAAATTACACAGATTAAAATATCCATATCTCTATATAGTGTGCCCGATATTCGTATGAATATCCTATCTACATTGCAAATAACACTTAAGAAGAAAACATAAATAATGAAAATACTGGAGAATTTATTGTTCAATCCAAATACTTGAGTTAAAGATGAAAGAGTAAAACTGTAAATCTAAGAAAAAAAATGACAGTCCTACTGAGACCTACTCCTGTACAATACAAGTGAGTCCTTTTCTTTTTCTGATCATACCATAATAAGCATTTTCCATTGTCTTTTGTTCAAAAAAAATTAGAGAGAAGAATGGATTATTTTTATAAAGGTCTCTTTCATCAGTTTCTGTAGTCTAAATTGGATTGTATTTAGAACGATTATTTCCATATGGAAGAAGTTGCTTCCAGCTATGGTTAGTGTGCCTCCACTCTTTATTGAATGAAATTTATTTTTTTGGATATAATGTGATGGGCAATCCATCTTGTGGAAGAGCAAAGGGGCCATACTGAATCCCATTTTTTGCACCAACTGTAGACCACCTGCATAACAATAATAGCAACTACCCTTAGAATCATTCAAAACATTCTAATTTTGGAACATGTCTCTCATCACTGCATACTCCGAAAAGGGTTACAAGGAGATTGTGTTTGGTAATAAACCAGATTGCCAACCTGTACTTTGTGATCAGGTGATGTAGAAGCACCAACATCTCCAACTTGGCTATTTCATTGCCAGGACATGCATGGGTCCCGTTGCCAAATGGCATAAAAGTATTGGGTTTTGGAGCCACCTAGAAAAATTATTTAACAGAATCTGTTAAAACCCTGACCTTAGAAGAATAACATGTAGCAAAGTGAAAAAAGAAGGAGAATAATGCATAAGTTATTTTCTCTGCACAATAGTTACCTCAAATCTTGAAGGATCAAACTTCTCTGGCTCTTTGAAGTTGTCAGGACTGTGGTGGATGTTCCTAAAAAGTGGTAATACTTTCCACCCTTTTGGTATGAGATACCCTGAAGAAATGTATTCCCCCAACACAAAATCACACACAAGGAATAGAGATGAATTATTTGGTATATTGAAGAAAAAAGAAAAAGAGGTATCATATCAGATTTGGTTATTGACCTTGAAATTCAACATCTTCTATAGCTTCTCTGAAGGTAAAAGACAAAATTGATGCTATTCTTAGAGTCTCCTGTATGATTCTGGATGTCACAGGCATATTTTTTGTGTCTGACCAATTCAGGCCCATTTCTTCTCCACTTTCTTCTTTGCACCTTAATACGGACTCATGCTCTTCCTACAAAACTCAACCAACAACGTTTTAAGTCACCAAACCAAGCCACACTCCAGATTTTCTGACTTAGTTTCATTTATTTGTCATAAAAGGTTTAAACCAGACTCTTAAAAAACATTAAAAAAATGTTTTTTTTCCTGTCATTAGAGGTCTCGGTTAAACAAACACTAAGTTGAAGAAAGACTAGGAGGTATATGCTTACAGTAGCTGCTTCTAAGACACTGGGGTTTTCTCCAAGGTACTTAACAATCCATGTAAGTACTGTGGCAGTGGTGTCACGAGCAGCAAAAATAACACCAATGATGTTATCTGTTATCTGTTCATCAGTGAGTCCTGCTTTTTCACTCATGAACGACCCCAGCAAGTCATTGTGTTCTTGCTTCGTCTTCCTCCTTTTTGAGATTGTTCGAGCCACCATATCTGCAAGCTCTTTCCTTGCCTTCATGGCCTTGTGGAAAAGTGTTCCGGGAAGGTTTATGGGCATTGAGTTGTACCCTCTCTCAAGAGTGTAGTAGCATCGCTTCAGAACCTCTGCATTCAGAGTTTCATCTTTTCCGAATATTGACAGCAGGGCCACGTTGATGGTATACTGTAAAAGATAACATGGGAAGAAAAAAAAAATTAAAAACTAGTCCTTTATTTGGTAAATATACAACAGAAATAACAACAAGTTGTAAAGGGGTTTTTTATTTCTTTATTTTCTTTCCCTTTTTAAAACAGAGGATCTGCTCTGTGGTCTGCTTTGAGGGCTTACCGTTTTCATTTCGAGGAAAGTGGTGATCAACTTTCCTTCCCATGATTTGAGGCAATTTTGGGCAATGGATTCAATATCAGAGACTATATTTTTGATGGCCTCGGTGGTGAAGGTGCAAAGGACAAGCCTTCTGAGGTTAGCATGGTATGCTCCTTGCTGAAAGAAAATGGCTTGCTTCCCCAACATCCTCTGCTTGCTATCAGGAAATGTTGGTTTGAAGAGTTGAGCTTTGTTGAGCACAAACTTTGCTGCTTCCGGGTTAGAAATCATCACACAAGGATAACCCAAAATGTGTGACTTAAACATAGAACCATACCTATTGAAAAAAATAAAGAAGGATTTATGTTAATGCAAGTGAGCATTAAGATTGATAAGGTTGATGAGATTGAGAAATGAATTGTTTTGAACCTCTTGATTTTTGTGGCAAAGAAAAGATTTGGGTCTTGAGAATACATTTGGAAGGTTTCTCCTATATATGGCCAACCCATGGTCCCGGGAGGAAGTGGCAATTGTGTATTAACTTTGTAAGGGAAGAAGAAGGAGAAGGATTTGATGAGTAAGTTGAGGAGAATAATAGATATGAAAGAAACAAGGAAGCATAACACAGTGGTGAACTCCATGTGTATGTAGTGTAGTTGTTGGTGTTTGGGAAAGAAGAAGAAAAAGTAGAAGAAAGATATGAATAAGGATGATATGTTGTGAGAGAAAAAAGCAAAAGATATGAGGTATTTATAGGGTGGAGAAAGGGAAATGATATGAAGGAAGGAGAAAAACAGGAAAGAGGAAAGAGGAAAGAGGATGGTTTTGAATTACAGCTAAATTTCCACACACGGAATCTCTCTCTCACCAGCTAGCTAGCTCATTTATATTAAGTTTTTTGGACTGATTGTGTTGCACTTGTACTGTGTTGTATTGTATCTCTCAAGAGAGAGAAATCATGAAAGTGAGCACGTGTCCCAAGAGTGTATGTATATACGGACAGATACAACATTTGAAGAATTGAATTTGGTCACTCGTACGTACGATAAGATGATTGCCAGGGGTGTCTCTCGTTGAGGGGAAGAACAACAACTTAATTCAACCGCCACAAGTAGTGCATATTCAAGGTATTATGTTTAATCCAACATTAGGTCTTTGGAAGATGGATTTGAACAAATAGATTTAAAAGAAAAATGAGGTGAGGGTAGACATTGCAATTTAATCTTTATCATATGGTTTGGTCATAAATTGGATGAGATCAAAAAACTTATTAAAAAGGTTTACGTAATTAAAATATTCCCAAAAAAATATTATGGGTTAAGTAATGGTAACGGATCGAATCGGACATCAATATTGTCTACTCGTAATTCGATTTATAAAATGAAAATTTAAATCAAAATCCGTCTATTACTTGCACAAATATTGCACAAATATCTACTTAAAAAGTTCATGATACAGAGACTACATGCAAATAATTAAAAAAAATGTATTTTTACATAATTACAAAAGAATATAAAATATGAATTAAATTAAATTAAAATTAAAATTAAATTTAGCATAATAAAATATAAATTAATTTTATTTTTAATTAAATTAAATTTAATAAAATATAAATAAATCTTTTATTTTTAAATTCGAGTAGTATTATATTCACATCCAACCTGTTTATAAGCGGGTATTAAAATATCCTTGGAGAATATTTGCAAATATCAACTACTTGTCTCGGATTTTATCTTCGGATCGTGAATTTTTTTGTTATCCCTAATTAAGATTAATATATGGATCTTCTTTTTTTTTAAAAAAATCATTTTGAATATAAGAAAAATATATAATTATCTCAATTTATTACAAATATAAGTATTTTTAATTTTTCAAAGAATTATATACAAACATTTTAATAAAATTAATATAGGCTTTGTAAATAATTTCTTCTTCGTGATGCAAATTCTTAAAAGATAATTTTTCTCTTTGAATTGGTAAAAATTTAAATGTATTATATAATGATATATAAAGTATTATTTAAAATATTTATGTTATGTAATATTATATATTATGTTATTAGCATGATGATGAAAGTTATTTTTCTCAAAAAGAAACTTAACACGTCATAATAAATTAGAAAATAAAAATATATCATAAAAATAATGCAAAAAAAATTATCTTTAATTATTAATTAAAGATTGAATACGGAGAAAAAAGAATTAGTAAAGAATATAGTATGGTGAATTTAGAAATATAAGATAAGATTACAAATCTCAAATATAAATACTAGTATCGTTTCTTACGTTTTCTTTTTCTCCTGGAAATAATAGATAAAATGCTTATTTTATAATTAATTGTTCATCAAATAAGTGTTATTATAAAATAAGTTAAAAAAATTATATTCTATAACAACATTTATCAAATTAAGATAACTATTCTTAATACAAATGTTAGTAAAAACATATTTTCAACCAAAAGATAATACTAGTTTATTTCTCTATTCATTTCATCTTTTCATAATAATGTCAAATTACGTTTTCCTTTTTAACAGGTTTATCTTAAAAAGTTTAAGAAGAATAAACAAATCCTAAATGTTTAATAAGCTTTGAATTCTCAAAAATTAACTCTAATAAATAAATATATATATATATATATATATATATAT